CGAAACAAATTAAATTAGGGTCGAGAATTCCCTGGAAAAAAATGGCCATCAATGTCGCGTATTAATCGATCGCTTAGAACAGAAAATCCGGCTATCGTTTTGCTCCCGTTTTGTTAGCGATGCAGAGTGGGCATGTCTCGTGTGTCGTGTCGTGACATCGCGTGTCTCATTTTGGAAGCTATTAGAGTGTCTGGGAGACATGGCGGGAATGGATGGAAGAATGGAAGATCGATAGAAGGGTCAGCCGGTCAAAGGATGGATGGATGGACAGGACATGGACTGAGTCACTGACGGCATGCCTCCGGGCATATGCCCCTTCTTCTCTCATTCTCTGCACTCACACACCAATTCTTCGGCCACCACAGCTCCAGGGTGGGCGCTACCTATCCTCCTCCTCCTCCTCTCCATCCTCCCTATCCTCTTTCTCTTCTTCTTCCCGGGGACCCCGAGCCGCCACATTAATTCCCCTCCCGGGGACCCGTGCTGGACTTTGTGGACCACCTTCCCGTTTGTCTCCACTTTGGGCTAGGGACTAGTCGAAGCTGCACTGGTTCGAATCCTTGTCTCCCACAAATTTTTTCTCGGTTTTGACCTTTAAAAATATGTTTCTGAAGATCATATTTCCTGCTTAGAATAGTTTACTCCGTGAAAAACTCGATAAACTTGTGGAAAATATGAAATCTTAATTTTAGCCTCCCAAAAAGTCGAGAGAGGATCTAGGAAAACGCTTAGCCTGAAACAATTACTAACTTTCCGTAATTTTAATTTTGTGCGACTCAAATCTTGCGCTTGCACCAATTCTCTGTCCTTTTTCCTCGGCTTAACCCTAAAACGCGGATTCCCAGCTCGTCTGCCGTTGACTTTGAAAACAAGACTTCCTTCTTCGTTTATGCTACTTTAAAAACTCGATAAACTAGGAAAATAACGATGGAATTATTTGAAACTCTTAAATGACAATTCATACAGCTCGAAGTCTCGCTTAACAGGACAACCCGCGCTTATGGTGGCCTTAGTGGCGGAAATATAGGGCTAGCCCGATAAAAACTAGAAAAAAGCTTTTTTATCCTAATTATGGCTAGACTAAAACTTCCATTTCATGCTGCTCGAAACGCGATAAAACTATAAAATTATTTCGAGTTAGAACATTTAAAAGGACAATGTTACTGTGCACGCCGCCTTTATAAAAACTAAAAAAGCGTGCTTCGGGCTCTAAAACCGTGAAAATACCACATTCATACTACTGAAAACCTTGAAAAAAAGTAAAAAATAAACAGGTTTCGTGGCCTAAAACTGTTGAAATTTGAATTTCTCGGCACAGAAAGCTCGCAAAAACTAGCAAAGTCGCGCTTTAAAGTGCGAACACTTAAAATTAACATAATTAAACAATTTACGATGATCTGAAGTTCGGTCATTCTAGCGGGTATACGTGGCATTCATGTAAACTTAGCTAAAAAATGCTACCTATAATTTTGCTCCACCAAAGCTTTTCGGAAGCTCATTTTGCGCGATTCCCAGAGGTTGAAGCCGCTCTTTCGAGGCCCAATTCACTAACTAGCTCTTGAAACTATAATATCTTCCTCGAAAGCACCACAGCTTTCGCCCTTACTCACCCGTAAAAGAATACCTGGGTGTGGTGGCGATGGTCCTCCTCGCCGTTTTTGTTTGGAATGGGGCGAACGGGCCCGACCTTGGCTCGTTTCTTCATTGATCCTCCCCCATAGCAGACACCTATTCGTTCAATCCTTCCCCTACTCACACTACCTCTTTGTTTTCGATACCCTCGTAATGTTGCTGTCTTAGGTAGTTGCAGGATGATTGATGAGGATCACTATGATACGCCGTGGGAATTCCTCGTCCGCCCCGGGTCTGTTCGTCTGAGCACTGCCGTAAGTTTTTTTTGAAAAATTGACTGGAAGATACCTGATTCTCGCGTTTTAAAGTCCTAAAAAATTAATGCTGAAAATTTGAAAATTTACTTTTTAGCAGACATGGCATTTCCGGGCGGCCGAGCCCGGGCCGGGCCTGGAATCTAATCCTACTATAGATAAAAAAATAGTGTCTGTGTGTGTGTGTGCCATGCATGCAACTTCCGTCAGCGTGTCCGGAGCAGGGTTCGATCATGTGGGCCAGGATTCCCATGACCACCTCCAGGTCGGCCGACCACCTCCAGTTTGGCCGCGAAGCGGCGAAAAAATTTTCGATGCTTTTTGCACCTAGGGATCCGCAGGTTAATACCGCCCGCTGCTTGAATCGATTAAGCCAACCTCGAGCCAAATTATATGTCTATTTCGGCTCAAATTCACCGTTTTTCCTCCCTGAAAATCTATCTAATAAACAATATTTTTGTATAGTAGATCAAAATGTTGGCATAAAGCGTCTCTATCACATTTCAAAAAGTTTAAAACCGTATCTTATTATTTTGACAACCTCCAGGCCCATTATCAAATGATTTTGGCCGTAAACTGCCATTTTTGGATTACCAAAAATTCCGTTTAAGGAAAATCTTTTTGTATTGTACATCGAAATGTCGGCATTAACGATGGTTACAACATATAAAAAATTAAAAACGATTACTGATTATTTTGACAACCTCCAGGCACTTTATATGCTAATTTTGAGCAAAAAATGCGGTTTTTCGGTTTCGACAAAATCGCCCTATCGGAAATCTTTTTGTATTGTACATCAAAATGTCGGCTTTCAGAGCCTCTATAACATATGAAAAGTTCCCAACGACATCTTATTATTTTGACAACCTCCAGACCCTTTTCCCAGTTAACCCAACGATGGATTTTCCGGGCCCCTGAAAAAAAGTAAACCTGGAGGTCATATCTAAAATCTTCCTGAAATCGATTTTCCCCAAACTAAAGGCTGCCATCGATAGCCAAGGATACATTCTTATTTGGGTGAAATTTTTAACCGGGTCGGTTCAGTAGTTTTCGAGAAATCCCACTTCGAAAAAAAAAGTTATGGGAAAACGCATGGGAGGCCATTTTAGAGAAACGCTTTTTACTCAAAAACTTTATATTAGCGTCCCAAATCTTTTTTACTCTTCTTATCTCCTAGGTTCTTCCGCATCCATTGCCATCTTGCGTTTTTCCTTGCCGAGTCTATCAACCGAGATAACCTCCTGGGGAAGCATGGGTTTTAATGGGAAAATCTACCTGGCTGCCAAAATACCTATTTCCGCCCCGTGTTTGACCCGATTCTGCATTTTAAACTTTACAGAGGTCTTCCTGATCCATTCTCTAGCGGTTCCGATCGATATTTTTCAAAAAGCAAAAGTTCGTCGCGGCGGGGATTCGAACCAGGGACCCTTGACTCGCCAGTTTCTACTTTCCCCCACGGATCCATTTTGCATTTTAAGCCTTCCAGATGGCTTCCCGAGGGATTCTCCCGTAATTCCGTTCTATAGTTTCCAAAAAAGCAAAAAAAGGTTGCGGCGGGGGTTCGAACCCGGGATCCCTGACTCATTGCCTTCTTCAATGAATTCGTACAGCAGAGTCGATTACTGGCCGCGTAGCGGCCGCGAAATTTTTTTAGGCTTTTTTGACCACCTCCAGGCTGGTTGACCACCTCCGGGCGGCCGACCAAATTTTTTCCCATGCTAATCGAACCCTGGTCCGAGGATATCTCAAGAGGGGAGGGGTTTTAAGGGCGTATGATACGTCATTAGAACGTAATGGCTCTGGGATGACTGCACGCATGTCAGATTTTGCAAATTATGCTATTTCCGACATTAAATTTAGATTTTAGTGAAATTTTCGGGCACGCTCTTTGTTAGGATAATTTGCACACATCGGAAGTGGTGGGGGTCTATATAAAGGGGCAGATGGAGCGTTTTCCATCATTTTTCATCGCAGCCCGGGCGAGTTATGCAAAGTGAAGAATATCGTGGGCTCAAACGGGGCCAGGGTTGAAAAAGTCGCGTAGCGGCTTTTCAACCCTGGTTAACATGAAAGACACTCACTTCCGGGCCCCGGAAAAATATGCAATTCGCGGGGCCGAGCCCGGCCCGGCCGAATTTTTCCGGGCCGGGCTCGGCCGATTCGACTCGGCCCCGGAAACTAAAATAGCTCCATTTGCGTCTAAATTCGGATGTTAATATGCAAATTTGCAATGAAAATTTTATGTGCGTTGGTACAGTTAGGACATCGGTATCGGTAAAATTCATTGAACTTGTTTAATAATTCGTCCCAACTATCGAAAACTACTAAAATACAGGTCTGAACCCGTTATGATCTGGCTGCAGTAGATATGGAGATGTATGGCAACCTTTGAAAAAACATTTTTTCCAATTTGCATGAATATTTTGACTGAAAATGCTTTACAACCGGCATTTCTGATTAGCGTGCGGCCTTGCGGTCCCGGGCTCGGCCCCCATTTTGGCTTAACCCGGGGCCGGCGAGCAAAGCCGAGCCCCGGCCCCGCCGGAAGTGGGGCCGAGCCCCGTCGGCCCGGCCGCATGCAAATTTTTGGGGCCGAAAAAGCCCGGGGCCGGGCCCGTTGCCATGTCTGCTTTTTAGGCATTTTTGCCCAAAAAGTCCCATATGCTCGAAAAGTTTTATAATTTTTAGGTTTTTGATATTTAAAAGTGTGTAAAATGCAAAAAATGGTTTATGTTTTGTAATAGGGCCTAGTGGGAAAAATTTGCTTCCCCCCGCTAAAGGCCAGTACCAAATTTCGATCCTGAAATTTGTAACTTCGAAAATGTTTAAATTTTGTAACTTTATATCTTAAAACTACATAGCATGCTATAAAAATAATGGATATTTTTTTATAGGGCCGTAGTACGGAATAACGGGGAAAATTAGTTTCCCCAGCTGAACCCCCGCGAACAGTCAAGTAACAACTTTCGAAAAGCTCCTTCCAGGCCGTACGGGTATCTAGCAGCTCACCGGTGTCACCGCATAAAACGACAAAAGGTCGAATGTCAACGAGCTATACGAGAAGAGCTTCTCCAAACATTGTCGGCCCCTCAAGCCAATCCCCAGAGCCCCAGCATGGCAACACCGACAAACGGATCAGGTTAGGAAAGAAATCTACAAAAATAGGCACGGGCTTTTCAAAGCCTTTCCCGCGTTATTTGCCCCGTGTATTTATATAGTTACTTATTTATCCGATTTTAGCATGCGAGTCGAAAAAGACCGTGTCACCATCGACTTCCGGAGCGAAGAAGACGATCTGCTGGAGCGCGGAATTGGTACGTAAATAGTCTCTTTTGCATTAATGGGGGAGGGGCTTTCCTCCTAAGCCTAAGCCTAAGCCTAAGCCTAAGCCTAAGCCTAAGCATACGTTTTTCTAAACTTCTTAGCTATTCCTAAACGAAAAATCTTACAATTTTGCATGCAAAACTACTAAAAATGGCCGTCTTTTGGCCAAAATTTCGACATTTTGAACTTTTAGATATTTTAGAGTTTTCGTAGTTGAATATAGAAATCCTACTTTTATAAAAAAAGTGTCTGTGTGTGTATACAGGGTGTCCCAAAAAAAAAACGACCCATCTGGCATTTCTCGCCGTGTTACGTCCAATGTTCATAAATATGGACGAGAGGTTATCAGACCCTAAATAACAACAATCCTGATTTATAGCCCTCCAGCTACAGAAGTGGTCAAGTTATCGCCAAAATACTGTTTTCACGCAATTCTAAACAGTTTTTTCGGCTATCTTTGGACTTTGCATCGAGTTGCATCGATTTAAGGCGACGAATCCCTAATGTCATCAAGAACTTGGGTAATTTTGAGTTGTAAATATAGCTTATATCTCGACACTTATTTGATTAATTTTAGCTCGGAAAAAAATTTCTGAAGGTAAAGAAGGCCTACCGGATCATTTTCACTTAATGTTTGGAGGTCTCATTGGCTGATTTCCCTATGAAAATGGAAAATAAACTTTGTTTTTTCTATAACTCACCAATTCCTATAGCTGTGGAGCTATAAGTCAGGATTGTTGTTATTTAGGGCCTAACACACCTCTGCTCCAATTTTCGGACCGA